TGCTAAACTTTTAATTCTCTATAAAACAACATGTTCAATAACCCAATCAAAGATCGACAAGCAACCCTTTCATGTTACCGCCAACTGTATTTATAAATTCACGTGTACCTGCCAAAGCAGCTACATCGGCCGAACTGAAAGGAGAGCATATCGTAGATTCTTTGAACATGTTCCAAAAGGTCTTAGAACAAGGGAAAGAAAGACTCTGAACAGTGCAATCACCAAACATCCTTTAGGGTGATTAGTAAGCAGCCAAACTCCAGTCTTCTGAAGTTTGCCGAAGCCATTGCCATCAGGCGTCAAAAACCTGACCTATGTATTCAAAAGGAGACAGTGGTTAATCTTTCCTTGCCCTGGTGACAAATATTCCTTCACTGCACCTTAAATTTTTTTCCTTTTTTCTTTCTTCTGCCTTTATTACATCATTGATGTTATTTTATTTTTTCAACTATCTTTCAAATGAATAATCTTTCAACTGAACTCTACTCACTATATTCCTATCAATGTTTATTCATTATGTAATCAATTGTTTCTAACCCACTTTTGAACAGTTGTCACAATTAATCTTGTAGAATATTCTTTCACATTAGGTATATATTCACAATATTCCGTTAGCAATTTAAACCCATTATGTAATTATGATTTTTAAATATCACAGGTTGTAAGCAGCTGACGAGAACCTACGAAATAAAATGAATTCATGCTATTCTACTAGAATCTTTGTTCTTGCACTTTTCAAAATGATAAAGGGAACTATGAGTATTAATTTGATCAAATATATGAATCAAGTTAATAATTATGAATCTTTCTGATTGAGATCGTGAACCGATTGATGTTAGACCACCACCTTTGGAAACCTGGAAGCACTGGACGGCCGTTTCGTCCTATTGTGGGACTCCTAAGCAGTGCGCATCCACGATCCCGCTCGTGGGATTCGAGCCCAGGGCCTTCGGTCTCGCGTGCGAACGCCTAACCAGCTGGACCACTGAGCCGGCATCCAATGGTGATAGTGTCTAACATCAACATCCAACATCCAATCGCGAGCGGGATCGTGGATGCGCACTGCTGAGGAGTCCCAAAATAGGACGAAACGGCCGTCCAGTGCTTCCAGGTTTCCAAAGGTGGTAGTCTAACATCAATTGATTCATGATCTCAATCAAAAATTAATAATCTCCACAACCCCTATACTAATAATTATGAATCTTATTGAATACCTACATGTATGCTTTTATGATTTATAATAAAGAGTAAAATGATTAGTTTCTTGTAGATTGTTTTCAATGGATCTCCTAGGATTAAATTACAATGATTACCAAAACTGTATTAGAATTCAATTTAGTGTCTAAGTTGTTTGTATGTTTTTCCTCCCGAAGCAAATCACATTTCTTAACAAGCATACTTAGTGTTGCATAAATAATTATGGTAATGATAATTTAATGATTATTCAATGCACAATTTATATCTAATCAACATTTTTGTTTGAATAAATAAATAGTTTTAAGGTTGGATTCAATTTATGTGCTAGTTTATACTATGAACTAAAATTACTTACTTACGCCTGTTACTCCCAATGGAGCATAGGCCGCCGGCCAGCATTCTTCAACCCACTCTGTCCTGGGCCTTCTTTTCTGGTTCTATCCAATTCTTGTTCATTTTTCTCATGTCTATTTCCATTTCCCGGAGTAATGTGTTCTTTGGTCTTCCTCTTCTCCTTTGGCCTTGAGGATTCCATGTGAGGGCTTGTCTTGTGACGCAGTTTTGTGCTTTCCTCAATGTGTGTCCTATCCACTTCCAGCGCTTCTTCCTGATTTCTTCCTCCGCCAGAATCTGGTTTGTTCTCTCCCACAATTGGTTGTTGCTAATAGTGTCCGGCCTAGTGTCCCTCTGGGGGCTACTGTCGGTCCCAAGCCCGGATAAAGGAGGAGGGTTGGGTATGGAGTTAGCGACCCCATCCCGTAGAAAACTAATTCGCTAAAAAAACGTTAACCAGAAAAATGAATCAAAGTTAGCTAGGAAATAATTGAAAAGAAAATGTTTGGGCGCTGCTTCGGTTTGGGCACCCAGGCAGTATCACATCTTTCGCACAAATCAAATTAGATTTGTGTTGGCGCATATGTATTTGGTACCTCCTTGTACCAATATCTATGTGCTCAAATAATGCTAATAATAAGTTAAAGAATAATGTACAGTTTTTCTATTGTAGTTTAGAATTTTTCAGTACTGTATATATAATATCATATAGGGTTAAGTTTTAAAGTCTTAAAGTGTCTCAGTGATTGTGATAACAGTTGATGTACACAGATAAAATATATAACGATCGGAATTTTGCAACATTCCTTAACTAATATGATCAATTCTCATAAACCGTTAGGTGGTTGAAAGTAGTCGATAAGAAACTCTGAATGTAGGTTTCTTTCTAATGGCTAATATTATGTTCCATGTCTTATACATTGATTGTAATTCATAAATAAATAAATAAACCCTTAAGTAATATGTGTTCATATTATATCCTTTTGTGATCATTTGTTTACTAAGAAAATATGTTAATTTGACCCTATTAAATGATATAATCACTTAAACAAGATCATGTTTAGATCTTTTCGAAATTTAACACATAATAAACACTTCACTATGAAAACTATTATTTCCCTTTGTTATTACTAATTCAAAAGAATAAAACTGATTCATTCATACTGTTTACATAACAACCCTTTGTAATTGATTCATTAAATTACTCATTTCTTTCTTCAAAAATTTTTTTCTTATTGTTTATTATACTGGTTAGGTAGTTGAATTCTGAATGAATATTTTATTGCCCCCAAATGCCCTAGTACGGCTGAGAGTGAGGAGAGTCCGCTCTACCTCTCGAAATGCTTTCACATGGCCACGCCCATATAGCCTCTGCCAGAGAAGTCCTACTCACTGCCTTCTCGCACCACGGGTGTTGTTTACGAAATTGAGAGGAAGAAAAGTGAATGTCCGGCGCTTTAACCGGGTTGGTGGACACGGTGAGTTCACCTAAGGAAGTTGGAAAACCCTGATTCCAAACCAATGGTGCACATGGGCTCCAGTATCCTGAAGGAACAAATGGCGTATGAACCAATCGTTGGTCATCGGCTACCATGGGAATGAATCTCCTTACGTTGCTCCACTGCCTTGTGGATTAGACCTTCAGATCGAAGGCTTCGGGTGTGGACCCCTAAGGAAAACACCTGCTTCGGTTTGGGCACCCGGGCAGTATCACAGCCCTCACACATCAAATGAGATCTGTGTGGCGCATGTGTATTTGGTGCCTCCTTGTACCAATATCTGTGTGTTAAAATAAAAAACATAAATTTCTGTGACAGGAATATTTGTAAAAAGAAAGGTGACATTCAATGACATCATTTTCTTATCTCATTTACATTGATCTTTCTAATTGAGTCGACAAAGTCACTTGATTGCTAAATAGTTAGTTGATATGTTATAATCCGTTAGAAATCATAACAATACATACAAATCTCTTGTTTCCTTTAATTTTATCGACTTAATTAGAAATATCAATGTAAATGGTGGAAAAATGATTACATTGGATATCACTTCTCTCTTGACAAATGTTCCTCTTACAGAAACTATATCAGAAGGGATTTGCGGAGATCTTAGAAATTTCACAGATTGAAATCATGAGTCAATTGAAGCTAGACCACTATGAAAAACCTGGAAGCACTGGACGGCTGTTTCGTCCTAGTATGGGACTCCTCAGCAGTGCGCATCCACGATCCCACAACCCGCGAGATTCGAACCCAGGACCTATCAGTTTTGCGCCAAGAGCTTAACCAACTAGACCACTGTTTTTTTCTTGTGTTTTTTATGTTTTTTATGTGACTATATTGAAAATAACAACCTTGATATTTGTATCCTAAAACATTATCTAAAAGAGCTACTTCTCAACGTACAATTTAGATTTATTGATGATTTCTACAGACAAACAAATGGAGTTACAATGGGTTCTCCATTGGGTCCCCTATTGACTGATTGATATTATTTCATGTTACAATAGAAGAAATATTCATTTTTAATTATACCAACTCATCTAAAATAGAAAATGAAAAACACAATATTCTCAATTCTACAGTAATTAATCATAATTAAGATCATTATAAAGTGTTATTATGGAAATGTAATTTACATCAGTGATGTAAAGCAATTGCTTGATCTAAGGAGACTTAAAAGTTCAGAAATTGACTCATAATGAGGTCGTACTTACACGTTGTTAAAAAGTTTCATACTAGGATGGAATAGCTATTTTACATGCTTACTAGTTTTCATTAATTTTCTAGTTGGATATAATTTGTGATGTAAACCAAATTATCTGGATAAATTTTCTATCCTATCCTATTTCATCTATAAGGGTGAATGATTTCTCATGGTTAATGTTAAAAAATGCTACGCATAAGTCTCTACTGGTATATTCTGAACTGGGTTCGAGTTCACGAGTGAAAAGCAACGCTGGAATGCAAGTAAAGCCAGCCGACGAGTCTTAAATAGGATGAAACCCGTGTCGTCAATTTCACTGCTAGCCACGTTGCATCCATTATATGTAGACTTGTGTCATAATGTCCATGTCGAGGCAATTCGCATGGAATGCACATATGCCAACTAGGACTAACCAAAATTTAGTCATGAATATCAGCAACGAGATAATCCAAACCACTACAAATTAAATTAAAATTCATACCCATTACAAAGATCAATGATTATTTGAACCCATTAGCTCAGTAGATAACGTTTTGTTGCTTCAATCTAAAGGTATTGGGTTCAAGTCTCTATGTGAACAGTAAAATTAAGATATAGTTACATTTAGCTAACGAGTCTTAAATAGGACCAAACTCACAACGTTGACTTTACTGCTAGCCATCATTCTAATTTAATGATTGTTTAAACTGGCTTGTTAAAATCTACTCTATTTTAACTGTGTTTTTTTTTCATTATTACTATTGTCGTTATTATTCTATTTTCAGGAAAATGAAAAAGATAAAACCAATCTATATGTGACAAATCTTCCAAGAACATGGACAACAAAAGATAGTGACCAGTTGAAAGCAGTATTTGAACGATTTGGTCATATACAATCAGCATTTGTTATGATGGAACGCTTAACCAACAAAACAACTGGTTAGTGGTGATAACTGTAATTTAAAATAATAAGAAAACGTTATAAAAATGAATTACTATGAAAAAATGGTTTGTACTAGTTTTAAAATGCTAACCGGTGTTAGGGATGGTTGGAAAAAATTAGGGGCAGTCAAACTAAAACGTGGCACCAGTGCTTGAAGTCACTAACTTCTAGTCTGAGCCATGTTGGTAGATGCAGACTACTTGGTTGGGGTCCGCGTGACTATCGTAACCAATGTTTGGAGACTCTTGGTGATATGGCTCAGAACCGATCACAATGGCGTCAGTGTATACACTCTCTGTCTTCCCTTAAACTATGAGATTAAAATCGCTTCATATCTTTCTTTATACGAACTACTTCTTTCTTTCTGTGCTATGTCCTTATTGCAATCTTTCTTTTATATATTACCACCTCTGAATTAACTACTTCTATGAATTTGGTGTTCATCTTGCTGTGCTAATGCGGTATGCCAACTTGGACCGATGCATATATGTGCCTGGTCTTACGTTGTAGCTGACTGACTGAATGAATGATATTTAGTTTTCAATTTTGAAACAATTTAGTATTAGAGTGAACTATACAAATGTTTTGTCTTCGGTGTGTGATACATCCACACAACCCTACTTGGGCTCGAGACGAGAATTTACAAGTGATTATTAGTGTAGGGGAATTTGCAGGAGTTATAGAACTTTCATAGTTTAAATCCCGAACTTAGCTAGAAAACCATCGAAAATCAGAGAGAGCCGAATAGGCATTTGTATTAGTTTGGAACTCCTCAGAAATGCTCATCCACGATCCCACAATAGAGGATCGAACCCAGGACCATCAGTCTTGTGTACAAACGCTTAACCTCTAGATCAATAAACCGGGATTTGTGACTTAAACTGTGAAAACTTCACAATTGCCACAAATTTCCTATACTAGTAATAACCATGTGCTTACTACTGAATGACTTCATAATGCAACTTCTGGAATTATAGTGAGAAGCTGTGACTAATGGAATTCAACCATTTCAGGTATGAGATAGTTGTCCACTGTAAATAATAGGTGGAGGTTGAGCAAAATCTTAGATTGATTGAAGTTGGACACTAATACTGTCGGATGTTGGCTGAATGGTCTGGAAGTTAGGCGTTCATGCAGGAGGCTAAGTGTCGTGGTTAATGTCCTCCATGGTGAATAAGCACTATTCAGGAGTTTTATATTAAGATATTAGGTCCGTACTTTTCTCTCAGGCTTCCAATGGTTATCTGTCTAAGATTAGTTAATGATTTATAAATGATACAACAAAGTTTTCACAAAAGTATTCCAGTTATAAATAGTAATAATATTAATGGTCATATACCTATTTAAGTTTGAATCAATGAATGAATGACTTGAATCTCATTAATTACGCCTTTATTTCAAACCTACTGAACAGTGTAAAATAAATATTTGATAGAGCTATAATTTATGGACGACTTTTGAGCAACGCTAAAGTAACCTTGAGACTATCCACTTGATAAATAGGACTAAATGTGGGTTATAAACCAGTGTCAGGTATTAGAATTAGGATTTACAGTTGATGGTTAAGATTAGGAATTAGATTTAGGGTTTGTATCACGAACTGGCATCAGGTATAATCCCAAAACTCTATTTAGCCAAATGACTGAGTTAATTTTGAGCCAAAATCCAAGACCTGTTATCTTTCATCAAATTGGTTCATCAATAAATTATAGTCTCGCCAAATATTCTCATAGGTAATATATCAATCAATATAATAATAATTATTGTAGTAATGCATATTATAATTGTTACATAAGCTTTTTATAACCATGCAAATTTACTGATTTTCCTCCAATTATATTCTCATTCATATTTATTTATAGGTGTTGGTTTTGTACGGTTTGTCAATGAACAAGATGCAGTGAATGCTTTAGAATCTTTAAAATTGCATCCACTCACTTTACCTGATTGTTCTGTTCCAGTCGAAGCGAAATTCGCTGATAAACATAATCCAGACACAAGAAGACGACGGTATCCTGTCACAGCGACAACTGCAGCAGCCGCGGCAGCCGCAGCTGCCGCTGCCGCTGCCTCAGCAACAATGATTGCTAATGTTAATTATAATAATCTATTGAATTGTCCTTTATATACAACACCAAATGGTTTAACATTAACATCACATGATGCTTTAGCTTCATTATTAAATACAGGTTTAGTTAGTCCATCGATTGTCAATAGCCAATTAGCAAATTTCTCCGCTTTACAACAAAAATCCACAACAGATTTTACATCACGTTTTAATTCCGACTTATTGAATGGTTTTATACAACCAACTAAATTTTCTAATGATTCATCGAACAATACTACTTGTAATAATACCACTAATATTAGTCATTATAATCATAACAATAGTATAAATAACAATAATACTAATAATGCTAATGGTTTAGTTACTGATTTCAATGGTAGCGGAACACGTGAATCAAATTTAGCTGCATTGGCGGCTGCCGCAGCCGCTGCGGCATCAACTATATTCTGTGGATCACCAACACCGAATAATTTCATGAATAATTGTCTACGTTCTAATCCTACTGTTAATGGTACACCGAATTTAAACGCCGGATTATTATCCGCTAATCAAATTGCTCTACTTGGTACACCGACTATTCCTTCTCCAGATACAAAATTATTTGATCCTAGGTAGGTTAGTCAGTTAGTAAATTAATAAACAATTGTGTATTTGTATGTTCATCGCTTATTCCTGATTTCACTTTTGTTATGTATAAATAATTATAAATAGAAATATAAATCATTGGATGGGAACTCAGTAGTCTGAAGATTAACTGCTCGCCTCGAGACCTTAGGTTATTAGGTTTAGTTCGTGGAGAGATCATAAAAGCCCATTGCTACTAAGGAGGGCCATATTAAAATGAAATAGTTATTAAGTGTTTTACAGTCCGAAACCATTTGTTACATTAATTATGCGGACCCGAACTAGGTAATCTGCACTCATAAATACTCCTTAGTCCAACAGTCAGCTACTTTATTGACTGATACCACATTTTTATACGGCCATCCTTAGCTTTCTTTAAACTTAATCCTACACCAGCAAACACCGTGTATAGGGGTAAACGATGGTTGGGCAGTGTAGTACTTATCTTGCATCTACACGAAATGAATCGGTAACTTCGAGTTATTTTACTCGACCTAATATTCGAAAGTTCTATTTTCAACTCCATTGTCTATTTGGTCGTTGTGAATACACGGTGTTAACCGCTAAGATGATCACAAATTAAGATAACATTCAATATGTTTGATCTGTTTTATAACATTTATACTCGTATTGTATAATCGCATATTTATTATCATATGCAGTAATTCATGTCTATGTATACAAGGAACAACAACCTAATGGTTTAAAATTTTAGTTATGAATTCACAGCTTTGAATCTCACTTCACCTAAACTGATAAAGGTAGTCTGGATGGAATTGCCATCCCTGAATTACACTTACGCAAGGAGAGAGGAAAAATTGTAAATCAGGGTTGAATAAATGAATATAAACTTGGTGCATGAGTTTAATAAGTAACATAACAAGTTACATTCGTCGAGCATTGACCTCAGTTAGGTTGTCATAAAAAACAGAAAGTAATGGGTAGCTCTTTCATCCTCTGAATGTACTCCTTAGAACTGACTATTCACAAGTCCGCTAGAGATTGACCTCAGAAACTTTATGTCCTGTGGTACGGCGAAACAACTATCCGTTCGTTTTTAATTTTTAAAAATACCCTAAGTGAGATCAGTCTGCGACGGAAACAACCTACAAATCAAGTCAATCTCTGTACGAAAATTCTTATCAACTGGTCTTATCAAACACATATTCATGTGTTTGTTAGTGGTAAACTTGTAAATTTTCTAAGGACAACTTGTATCCTGTAAAGTTCTGTGATGGCGAATACCAGACAAATATCACAGATGGCTATGGATGATGGGTACTTGATATTGTAAATAAACTGAAGTTGGGAATGTGAGTCGCTGAATGTTAATGTTGTGCTCGTGTAGCAAGACCTGAAGTTCGTGAGTTCGATCCCTGGTGGCTTAATAGTTATTTACTATTGTGAATTCGTGCACTGAAACGAAGTTGTTCGCTGCTACTTGGATTTCAATAATTCCGTTATGTTCTGCCGTCCTCCGAGTCTGTCATTAACACAAAAGCTTTGTATTCGTGATCCTAACCTGCCACATGAGTGAGAAAATCAACATTGTGTAGGATGCTGGTATTAGATAAATCGAATAGAAGATACATGTACAACTGTTTCATAAATATTTATCTATTTGCCTGTGAAAATTAAGCAACCTTTTCAGCTAATAGCTTATATCGATTTATTCGAAAAGTGAAACGAAATCTTGACCAGTAACGTCCGTTCACCAGTATCTAACATAATGCAGCCACAAATTGATATACCCAATTGTTTCAGTGTATCAAACTGACAATGTTCCATGACACTATACTACCTTCAAATTGAACAACCGTTACAAATCTTCTATACCCGGGAAAAAAACATTGTCTTGGATTTGTGGATGAACGCCGCTGAAGAGTCCTATACCAGGACCAAATAGCTGTTTAATTCTTCCTGATTTTCAACGATTATCTAACTAAATTTATTCCATAATCTAAACCATAAAATTCTTCAATCTTTTTGTATTTTTATACATTAACTATCTTGTCACTTTTTTTTAACCTAATAACCAGTTTATACGGATGTTCATTATACGGGACTGATTACTTTCGCCCACAACAACAGTCTCATCAGCATGCACAGCAACAGCAACAACAACAACAGTCTCATCAACAATCACAAAAACAACAACAACACCTACTTTCTGTTGCCATGGCAGCAATGACCAATCCGACTTTACAAGGATGTGTTTATCCAACAACAGCTGACTTAAATACTACTTTCAATGCTACTTATCAAAATTTTTTGAATTCACACAATTCAACAACTATTCCAATACAAACTGATGCACTTGGTAATTGTTTAACTGGTACACCAGAGAATATTACTTTGAATGGTACAATTTATGCCAATCATCCTCATCAATCCCAACAACAACAAACACAACAACAAAATAATTTACTTCCGTCAACACCAATTCCAGGTTCCATAACACATATTCCTGATGCATTAAATAATAGTACTAGACCAGAAAGTGGATTATATCAATGGTTAATACCAAGTCATTTACTTAAAACTAACGGTAATAATAATAGTAATACTAATAATAATACTAATAATGATTGTCATATGACAATACCGGCTTCACCAGCGTTTTCATTGAACCCTGCCAATCATTTAATTGGATTAGACAAAACCAATCGACATGTGCAAATGTTATTATAATCAATAAGAAGTGAGTCTAGTTCTTTTTTCCCAAGTGTCAAGAGTATCGTATAGTAGGTACATCTAGCTGACGAGTCCAAAATAGGACGAAACGCGTGTCCTGGATTCTACTACTATCCAACATCCATATTTGCTTATAATGCTTATGACCTACTCACAATATCGACGTAATCCGCACAGGATGCATAGTTGCCAATAAGAGACTAGTCCATTGCAGTACTAAACATCAATGGGAAGATTAAAACAACCAATATAAAATGAATTGTCGTATAGTGTTGGACTTTGGCTAGAGTAGTGGGATCCAAGACTAAGTGTTTCTTCGTATATGATACTCGTTAAATTTATATATTTGATACTCAGTGTTGATATTCACACTGAAACTTGAACCTAGTGATCAAGTGTTGCTATGCACTGAGCTAATGAGTTCACATAGCTACTAACTTGTCTAACGGGTATTAACGTTTGTGTTCTTTCATTGTTGATATTATGGACTGTGATTAGTTATTCTTTGTCTGTGTATATGTTCACCCTGGTCATATTACTGAAATATAACTAGTTAGTCAATGAAGTTTCAATAAGGTTGAATTATATCTATCCACTGTTAAGAAAAAAAACACGACACACTTTTTCTCTTAGGTGGATAGACGTACCTGTGTCTTAACGTTGATGTTGAACCCAGTATTTATGCACTGAATTATTTGTAAGTTGACATTAGATTTTGTAATACCATTTTGTATTCAGTGAATTTCTAATGTGCAAATTACAATTAACTAGACATCGGTAGTGGGAGGTGAGGATAGACACAAAGCTTTTACTAAAGAAATAATCCAAATCATTTAGGGTAAAATGTACATTCTTACCTACAAGCTCATTTAAACATATATACAAACAATTAGACAATTTTTGAATACGTTTTCTTCATGATGATCAATTTACCTCACACACTTATTACATGTACGCACGAGTAAGCTGTTTCAAAATTTTTATTACAGAAAATAAACAGCTATTTATTTTCAAGCTCTATTTTTACTTTAATTGAGATCATGAATCGATCAATATTAAACTATCATTGGATACTTGGAGGCATTAGACAGACGTTTCGTTCTAGTATGGTACTCCTCAGTAGTGCGCATTCACGATCCCGTACGCGGGATTGGGACCTAGGACCTTCAGTCTCGGATACAAATGCTTAACTTCTTTTTTTCTCTCATTACAATTGATGAACGGCTGTCAAGTGAATTACATCTTAAAACATTTAATTGTACTCAAACTTATTCATTTGGTTCCTAAATCATTCATGGTGGTAGACAATTTATCCACGTGTACTCACACATACAGATACTTGATTATAGAAGGATACATATATAACTGTGTAGAATTGAATAATGAGAGACGATAATCTATACTTTTCTTATGTGGTTGATTTATACACCTTTGCTCCAGTCTATTCCTACCCGCCTGGTCTGTTTCTGAGTCTATTTAATCACCACCCTTTATTCATTCATCATGAGTTTCTGATCTCAAATTCCTCATGGGTAAAGCTTATATGAAATCTTTTTTAAGCAAGTAGGAGACCAAATAATACATCCAACATTCATACTTGTTTACATTCTATCTTTTTTCATATACTTAAGTGAATAGTAACTGGGCGTGCACACACACGTGTACTTGTTCGTACAACGTGAACACATACATGATAAATCAGTGTTGTGGTGGTAATTACTGGCGATATATCAAGATTTGATTATTCACCTAAAATAATTTTGCGGATATTTGTCGTTGTTGTTGTCGTTGTTATGTTATGTAGAACATTACAATGTATAGGGAAAACCCCACTGGTAAGAACTTTACGAAGGGAAAAAGTAAACCGGTAGAACTTTTTACGATGAAGTTGCAAGGATCATACTATGCTTATTTGTATATTGATAGTATACTAACAATCTCAAGATTGAATGAGAAATTGACTAGATACATATAAATATATATGTCCTTGGAATATGTATTTCGTCGTTCCAGATATTTCTGTATCCAATTTTCTGATGGCTTCATGATAGAATGGGAAATTTTACGGTGTACACCATGAATCGATCTCATTTGGATATCCACTGAAAACCAACCAGCTTTATTCAGTCGTTTCGTTCTACTATGTAACTCTTCAGTGGAAGTGTTCATCCATTACTCCACTTGGGGATCAAACTTAGGACATTTTAAGTTTTAATGAGAGAATTTAACGTTTAAACCAATAGATTTGTTATCTAATGGTTAACATTACTTTGAAACATTGCTTCTTGATTGTCGATGATTGTTTAACTAATATCAGTTCACAATGTAAACTGTGAAATTCAATAAAATTCATTAACCATTGATACCAAGAATATAAATTGTTGTAGAAATAATACTACTCATACAATTTGTAGCTTAGAAGTCGATAGGATTGAACTATTCCTATCGTGTTATATAGTAGTGTACTGTTTGAATTTTCTACCTTGAAAAGCCCAATAAAAACAGAGATAGCAATGATTTTAAGAGGATAACGTGAATTTCATTTTTTTTTCATATTCTAAAGGTTTTTATCAGCTAATATGAAACGGTACCTTAGTTATTAATTTACTCAGGTTTTAAACAATTAGGTCACAGGTTCGAAGCTTTCTCCGCCATCAGTCAACTGAGTAATATAATTAACACGAACACTATTACAAAAGTTGATAAATGAGACACACTCACATACGTGCTTATTGTTAGATGATGGTTGTAATTTATCACAATTAAAATTAACATCCTTTTGTTAGATGGTTAGAGGCAGTCAATAGGAAGCTTTACATGGGCTAAAATTTCTTGTCAGTTGACATTCGTCAACAAGGAGTATCTAAAACCTTAAGGGGGCTGCAAGATTCAGATCAGTGTCCTAAATACTTGATTGTAATTATTCTCATGGCATAAGTCATAAACTTTTCTTTTTGATTGAGATCATGAATAGGTCAATGTTAGGTCATCACTGAAAACCTGGAAACATTTGACGGCCGTTTCATCCTAGTATGGGACTCCTCAATAATGCACATCCACGATCCTGTACACGGAATTGGAACCCAGGACCTTCGGTTTCGCGTGCTAACGTGTAACCTCTAAATAGTGATCTAACATCGATCGATTCATGATCTCAATCAATAACATAACAATCTCCACAACCCCATATTGATAAATTTGTCCTTATTTCCCCCTTTTCTTAGGTATTCCGATCATGTTAAAAATAACTGAGTCGACAAAGAAATCGGAAGTCTTTTTGGTTATTCAATAATAAAGAAAACATTGATATCATTCACTGTTCTTAAACATACCTTTTCTTTCTTTCTTTCTTTCTTTCTTTCTTTCTTTATCTCTCTCTCTCTCTTTACCCTCACTGTTTGTTTACAATCATTATTTCTTTGTTAATAAAACTAGTTTCATGTAACGAAAAAAGAGAATAATTCATGCTTATATTTCTGAATAAGCAGACAACGTACATACGTATGCATGTGTAAAGTTTGAGTGTGTGTGTGTATATGTGTGTGTATGTGTGTGTGTGTATTGTAATGTGTTTGCACACATGTAAGTGATTTCTCAAATTCATTCTTGTAATCAATCGCTTAATTGATAATTAAACAGGCAGGTTTTATTTTATTTTTTTTTAAAAAGTGCATTGATCGATGAAGCATTTTACAGGTTTTTTCTTTTTCATTTTTGTTTGATTTCTCCTTTTTTTTCTTTCTTTCTGTATGTGGATCTCTTCAAACTCTTCAAAGATGAATTATTTCATTAATCAACGAAATCAGTGATATGTGATGTGTGTGTGTGTGTGAGTGCATGTGATTTCTTTTCTATTCCGTTTTTTGTCTGTTAATCAATCAATCAATCAATCCAGTCGAGTTGTTTCAATGTGAATCGATTATTGATTGATCAATCAATCAATCCATTTGAATTCTTTGATTATTTTGTATGTCTGTGTACACAACACAATTTGTTGTTTATTTATTCAATAAATAAAAAATGATTGTTTTAATGATCCATCTATTTTGAACAATTCGCCTTTCAAACCCACACACATACATATATATATATATATATATATATATATATATATATATATTACACACATACAATATGATCTGAACTGTTTAAATTGTAACTGAATCGATAAGGTGGTGTTAAAAATTGGAAACTTGAAGCACACAATTTGTTTGTTTGTTTTTTAAAATGCTCTAAAAGAGAAAACAACAACAACAACAACACTGATTTAGTTGTCAAGACAAGAAAAATAATAACCGATTTGTTTTTCTTTGGTTTTATTCAATAGATATATATTGTCTGTTGTTATGACTGCCTTTAATGTATTGTATATTATATGAATGAATTGAAGATATGCACAGTTGTAAGTGAAGAGATAATGTTCCGAAAATGATTAATCCAAATAAAAATATGTAGGAAATATTTTTTCTGAAAAAAAAACCGTCAAATTAAAATCACCCCCTTTTTTTAGAAAAAAAAGAAAGAAAAAAAAACAATATGGTGATAGTTCAATAGTGAAACCATAGAATAGAATTGAATTCAATGAGAGAGATTGAAAGGTACTCAATCTTTTTTGTTTGTTTGTTTGTTTTACTTTTTGTGCATTGATCTAAAGGTGAAATTGTTGTGTATTTTCATTTGTTTTAAACAAATCTACTAATTTAATGAGCTCCATCTTGTACTCTTTCATTTTGTGTAATAGATGATATTACTTCTGTTTTTGTTTTTTTTTGTGAGTAAGATTATTTTTATCTTGTACATGCGCAAGCGCATACAATTGTGTATTTAAACAAAATGGAATGGATATATTGAAGAAAATTTTTTTGTTAAGGAAGAAAAGTGGGAAATTTTCTGTGATCTGTTTTTCACATATTTGTCTGTTTTTATGACAAGGAGAAAGAGAGTGAGGGAGAGAGAGAGAGAGGGAGGGAGGGAGAAACCGAGGTGAATAACAAATTGTTTGTTTGTCTTTTTCTTTTTCTTCTTGTTTTTTTTTTGTTTTGTATTAGTTTATTGGAGATTATTGATAGACATTTAAATAAAACAAAATAATCTTTTATGAAATAATCTGTCTTTTATTACGATTGGTTAGTGTTGCTTTCATTACTTTACTGGTTGTCTATTTCAAACCTTTATTGGAGTCAGGGAGAGAGATATATAAATTCAATACTACTGATTTCTAATGAATTCAGTAATTACTAATTGACATATTAAGAAAAAAGGGTTGTCTTTTTTGCTTACAGTCTGAGAGATCTGTTTATATTGAGGAGGAAATTTGTATGTAAAAAAAAATTGACAGGGATACTTTAAAGTGATGGTCAAGTTTGTCCATCAGAGGACTTTCAATTGAGTTATATTTGCTAAAATACTTGTTCTTTAGACTTTACGACCTCAGATAAGTTGACAGGAGAATGGTAATACCAAAAAGCAGTAAACATATGGTCCGCGGGAAAAGTCGTACAGGTAATTGTACTGGATGTTATGGCAGTAAAGTGTTTTCAGAAAAACAGTGTTTACAACGATGCTGTTTACCCATAAGAGAAGGACACGGTTAGAAAAGGTTGACCCTAAAAATAGTATACTTCATTTTGCCACACAGATTTTTGTCGTATTCTTTTCCCCAATTGACTGATAACTTGTTGTGTTTTCATATAGATTCTGACAATAATAGTATGATTGTTATCAACATTCAATCCAATTCAGTATCAAGATAATAAGTAGTCGACCACTTGAGGAGAAATTTTGATTGCTTAACTCATATTGACTGATCGCTGAGTAGTAAACAGTGTCACATTTTTCTATTCCTTGATTGCTGATCTAATTCTATCAATCAAGTTGCGATGTAGCCACTGGTGTGAGTGACTCAACATCTTCTGCACTATGTTGAGGTTTTAGGTGGTTAGAGGTAGTCGGCTGGAAACCCTAAATTCAAGTTTCGTGTTAGTTGCTATTTGTTAGCAAGGCGTATCTTCACTCTTGGGGGTGTGGGAAAGGATGCTCTCTATGTGGTTGGCATTCACTTCAATCAGCTTTGTAGTCTGAAACATAAAGACTGAGTTATTCGGGCTTTGATTTACCTCTTTTAGCACTGATATATTTACACTAACCGATCACTGAGTAGTGCCCAGTGATAAGCTTGTCAATCACCGCCGGCATAGGTCGATTGTGATGTTTAAGACTGTGAATCTGATCGACGTATTTTTAACCCTATAGAAATCACCAGTTCCTCAGAGATTGCGAGTTAGCTTTCTGTAGATTTTTCTCCCACCTATCTTCAACTCACCTTGCATTTATAACTCACTTTCTTGTGAAGTTTGTATTCATGAGATCATCTAAGAGGTTAAAGCTAAAAACTTTCCATCTAAATCATCTTGATCACAGAGAATGCGATTTTCACTGAAATCATTGGATTCATATTCAATTCTATTTACTATGTGATAATACTTTCGTATGCAGTAATGAATAATATGATCTATGTAAATCGTTTGGGGATCTTAATTTAGTCACTGTTGAGTAAAAATCACTGAAATCATAATGAAAAACTAGTTGTCTAGAAATGTGACATATTTATGGAAGATAAAAATGAATATCATGCTAAAATAATGAGGAAAATTTATAGTTCTTGTAGAACGTTTTAATGATATTGTATTCTTTGAATATGCTATGAATGGTCGAACAAATAAGGATGAGAAACTTTGGAAGTTATTTGCTTTAGCAAATCAGAATATATACATGTAATTTTAATGGAACTCCTCAGCAGTGCGCAACCATGATTCTGCATACGGGACTCGGACCCAGGACGGCCGTCCAGTGTTTCCAGGTTTTCCATGGTGGTCTAGCTTCAACTGACTCATGATCTTAACCATTGAAATTACTACAATCTCCACAAAAAACCCATCTTATATTAATCAACATATGCTCACTAGTGACTGGCTTCACGAGGTATATCCTGGAGTTCTAGTGAGAAGTAGTGACCAGTGGAGTTCAACCAGGTCTGTTGTGAGATAGTAACTCACTGAAGACAATGGTGAATGTGTCGCTCAATTTCGTGGATTAGTTGAAGTTAGACATTAACACCGCTGGGTGCCGGCTCAATGGTCTAGTGGTTAAGTGCTCCGGCGCGAGACCACTAGGTCCTGGGTTCGGGCCCCGCGTGGTGCGGGATCGTGGATGCGCACTGCTGAGGGGTCCCATACTGGGACGAAACGGCCGTCCAGTGTTTCCAGGTTTTCCATGGTGGTCTAGCTTCAACTGACTCATGATCTTAACCATTGAAATTACTACAGTCTCCACAAAAAACCCATCTGATACTAAAAGTTACGATATATACTCTTTAGAAATGATTGATTATAGTCAAACTACTGTTAAATTACAAGTAGTATGATTTCTATGCATCAAATAATAAAGAGTTGATGAAATAACAATTTCAGATCTCAGAAGAAGTTTCTTATTTCAAGAATGGTTTAATAATGAATATCAAAACCTTAAAACCTAATTGTGGTATCAAAAATTAACATGTTTATTCGACAGTTAATCAGTATATAACTGAATTATCATATAGTAGTAATAAATGTGATATTTGTCTAAACCATTGTCGATGATTGAATTCTGCCGATCAAGTCACAATGTGTTCATTAGTCTAAATGATCCCCTATTTGAAGAACTGTGTTGGTATGTTGGGTGCTAAGACATAATCAATAGAAAATCTCAGACTTAAGTTTAGTACAAGTTGACACTCGTCAGTAATGCACATCTGCAATTTTGAGGAAATATGTGCTCCCTACGTGATTTAATCTACATCATCCATATTTGTAACCCGGATCGTTGATACTTGGCTATTTGGGCTGAGACTGATCTCATGTATGAGTGAGACATTTACAATGGACTGACCGATAGAATTCTTTCGACACTAAATGACTAGACAAACACAACTTTGGTCACTACTCAGTGATCAATTCATATACATATATAAAACCTTCAGGGAGTTTGTTAGGGATGCAGAGGAATATACCAATAATTATCATGTTAAGTCCAATGGTGTCCTTGGACTTTAAATGGACATTTCCTATTGGTCGACATTTGTTCACTTGTTGAATATTGTACAAAATGTTGTTTTCTGTTTTATGGTGCGATGTGGTATGCTTGATTGGTATATAAGCAGAGTGTGTTTGAAATACAACGATTCATATCTCAGAGGCTGAGATTTGCGTTCTGGACTCAACTGGCTGGGCTAGACAGGGAAGCGGGACCAATCAGTACCCTAGGTCGTTCTTACGTGTTATACGCGTCTTTGTTCCGATCGACAACACACTGCTCTCTAATCTTTCAGTCAAGGACACAACGATTGGCACGGGGTATAAATCGACCCAAGTTTAAAGTCACAACAGAGTTATTACAAATTGAATAAATTAGTAGTGGCGTCTCAAACTATGAGATTGAGTGATTTGAGTTTGTAGTGACCCATATGCATCTGAACCAATGTTTTGAAATAAAATATTATCTAAACGCTTGTCAAATACTTTCATCCAATTTTTCGCTTTTGATTGAGATCATGAAACGATTGATGTTAAACCTTTTATTTTTTCGAACAGTGACACTTTCAGGGGCACGCGTTAACCTGGGGGTGGCTTTATGTGGTCTTGAATCATAAGTACTTAATAAGAATTAAAAAGAATAACATGAATTATTGTGACAGACTGTAACATACTGTTATACATCATTTTTTGATGAATGAATGCTTAATTGTAACATTATTGATTACATTATGTCCATGCATGTCTATCTCCACTTGCTTGTATTACTACTTGTCTAATTCCAAATAGATGCTCTTGTTAATTATTCACTATCAACTTTAAACGTGTTTTCTCGTGTGTTTGGCATGTGTACGTCTATATACCAATTCATCTTGTAGATTATCTATCCCCTTGGTCACATTATTCACAGTCTATCTTGATCTGTATTGACTTTTGGAACGTGTATTATATTGGGTAGGCTTTTACTTTCACGTTTATCTTCCCTGGTTTGTCCACCAAACAGAACATATGAAAGATA